AAGTGTCTTCCTAATATCGGAAGGAAGAGGCCATTCCAGACGGCTCGCAGAAGCGCATCTGAAAGCACGCGACGCGGTGAACGTCTTTGTTGGATTGCCAGCCCAAAGCCGCTGCGAGGGTGGCTCCGTGACGAGATGAGCAAGGTTTTGTGGTTCATTTGCGCACAAACGTATTCTGTGTATACATTACCCACAGCGGACTTGGGGTCAATTGTAATTACAATTAGAGCAGCATTATATTCTTGGTTCTTTCGTTAAAGTCACGTAGAAGGGAAACAATAAAATAATAAAAATATATAAAACAATATTATTTTATTGTTTCCCTTCTACGTGACTTTACCGAAAGAACCAAGAATATGAATCCCTGCAGTCACGAAAGCTTTAAATCAAAATTTAGAGCAGCATTGTTAGATGATTTTAATGATTACAATTAGACCGTGGTTGAAATAATGGGTAAGTATACATTGACAATTGCTATTGACCCCAGGCATGAACCACAGATTGTCAAATCATGCAAAAGTAAAACAAGAGAGGCAGGTACAAAGACACAATCGCCAGCGAAAAGCAGCTAAAAACGTAACATTATCACAAAAAAAGTGGAAAATAAAAATAAAATGAGGCATGCATGCAAACTCTGTACAGAGAAATATCCAGTTAGTCATAAAGACGCTGATGTAGACCAGACCGGTGTAAATCTGCAGCAGGGACACTCGGTCATTCCAGATGCACGAACGAGTGTTCCCCACACGTGCCACAGCAACCTTACTGCATGTGGACAAGGCCACCCACTCCTTTCATTCGGGCGAGAATTTTTAAAGAACGAAAGCCCAACAAGAGAGTATAAAAGACATCTGGTTTTCCTTTTTTTTAAATATGAAAATTATTACATTTGCTAGCCCAGTTCAAAAGCCACGCCTTGCACACAGCACAACATAAAGTGCATATGTACGTTTTTTTGTTTGTTTAAGAGCAGATAGCGTTATAGACAGATGGCAAGGGGGAGGACTTGAGTCGATTCTTGAATAGAGGCAGGGAGTTTGTAGCATGGATAGCTGGGGGCAGCAGAGAAGAAGAGTAGCTTCCCACTGAACAATGGCCAAATGGGGGCGTTGGCAGAAGGCCTTGGTTGCTGAAGCAGAGAACACAACGATACTTAAAACTAAACTTGTTTTATTGTAAGAGGAAAGGCTCTAAATTTTGATTTAAAGATTTCGTGACTGCAGTAATTCATATTCTTAGCGCTTTTGGTAAAGTCACGTTGAAGGGAAACAATAAAATAATAATATATATAACAATAAAAAATATCATATATATTTTATTATTTTATTGTTTCCCTTCAACGTGACTTTACCGAAAGAGCTAAGAATAGGAAAGGCTCTTTTTTTCAGAATCGACCTGGCCACAAATGATAGCTCAACGAAGTGGCTTATCACGTGGGAATGTACAGCAGCCAAATACTCTAAAAACGTGTTTCTAAATGTGGAGGGAAAAACCGGAGGACCCGGAGAAAAATCCACGCTACCACGGGGAGAGAAAGACATGCAAACTCAAAATATACAGCAAGCGTTAGGGTTGGGATCGAACCCACGACCTCCTGCATACCAAGCGAGGTAGTAAACATCTCTTCACTGTGGCGCCCAAGAAGGGCAGATCGCGATGAGTTTAGACGTTCCATACAATGACGAATGGTTCCTTTTCATGAATCACAGTTGTGCTTATTTTATTAAACCAGAGGAAAAATATTTTTAATGGGCCGAGTTGCAGACTTTACATTGTAAGTTGAGCACTTTGTCACAGATCCACCGTGTTGGACTTTATAAAAATGCTCGTTTTTTTTCTCCACTTACTCAAATTAATCAACCGCAGACAACCTTCTTTCATTTATTACACTCCTGGACTGAATTCCACAAGAAGAAAAGTTTACCCAAGGACCCAGACATCAGGGGCCAATGCCCTGCCTACATAATCGTTCATTTATACAACAAATTACAAAGCAAACATCCCATTCTAGGTCATTCACTTTTGACCTTTGAACCAAAGCAACACTTGCACGCATCCAGGTCGTATTCGATTCACTGGCTGCTCACCAAGCCTTTAATGAATGCCCTCTCGTCTCGTTGTGCTCCTTAAGCGTGCTAACATCGCGTGTCCCAGTGAACTCGTGCCTTTCCTTTCAATGCTCTCAGAAGAATGAACAAAAAAAGTGTTTTGCCTTCTCCGTTCGCTTTGGAGATTTTTTTTGGCTCCCAAGTTGAAATAAGCAAAATGAAGGCTAAGCAAACAAAACTGAAAGTGGAACAAAACACAGAATTTTTATTTTACTATGCCGGTCAAATAAACGTGAATTCGGTGTTCGAGCAGCTTGTTGTCGTTAGATTGTCTTAAAACTCTCTCTCTTCTCTCTCTCTCTCCCTGTATTCTTTTTCTATGGTGCACTTAAATCATTTTTATTTTCTTGCTTTTAAATGCCGAAAAACGTTGTAGAAAGTGCCAAGCCAGAGTGGACCGGCAATCCTTAGCAAAGTAAATAAAGGTGGTTTCACGATAATTTCTGTGCTGGTAAAAAAAAAATGCAACACAAACATAGACAAATGCATTCATAGATACAGTTTTTTTTAATGGCACCCCTTAGAAAAACATGCAGCTTTAAATAGCATGTAAGCAATAAAAATTGCTTCCATTACATAACGTTTACAAAAGAAGTTCAAACCATACATATAACACAACTAATCTTTTTAAACATTTAAGCCATGTGCGAACCCATACACTTTATTATCTTGCGATTTTTTTAAATGAAAAAAATGCACAGTTTGAATTCGGAAGACGTGTTGAAACTCAATATATACCTGCTAAAAAGGAGTGCTTTGTTGAATTCAAGTGTGAAAACAAAACACATCTATCCTGAAGAGACAGGAGCCAAAAGATAACACGCTAGATTGGTTACAAGATATCACTATTATTGCTGTGACAATAACTGTCTGGCTCTACAAATGTTTTAATTTGTCTGCACACAGAATGGCTGTGAGAAAACCCATATCAAAGTTGGAGCCACCTATAATGTTCAATGCAGATGCCATGCATTGATATGAATACAAAAGTAAAAAATAAACGTCCGCTTACCCTTTTGTGGGTAGATTGCAATTACGATGGACAGGAAACAGGATAATCTTGGCTTGAGGAGCATTTGCCTTTATTTTGTTTTGCAAGCTGCTCTACCACTGGGTGCAGAATTGCCACAATTTCCTGCGGTTTAAACTTGATATCCATCAAATAAAAAAAACGTTTTAAAAAAAGCATCCCTATATTATACACATTTTTATTGTGTCACAAAAACCGCTGCTGTAACGTTGGTATGTAGAAGGGAAAACGTCCATGAGGAAGCGCTCCAGTGAGCGTTGACGCAGAATTTTTATGCTGAGTAGCTGTTGCTCGTATTAAGAGTGCATTTCTAAAAATATATGGCAAAAGTGACTCACTATTATCGTCGACCCAACCAACACTCATTGTCCAAACAAAGTAAAGAGATTAATATTGTTGGGGTTGAATATATATTTAGTACGGTCACAAACATTGCTGTCAAGAGTGTGACAGAGACTTTATGGAATACTAATTAAATTAGCGCCAACATACCGTTGGTTAGTCTGCCCTTTAAAACTTCTGCTACTAAGTCAGGATAATTGGGAGCTAATCAACGGACGTAATGAGAAATCAGAAGATTAGCTCGTGTGAATGTTGGTATGTATCTGTGAATGACCATGTAATTCTACTTATTTTCAGTTATAATTGGATTTATTAGAAAAATTGGCTTATAGCAAACATCATCTGCAATATATCTATACAGGTATATCAGCATTAATGCTAATCCTGCTACCACCAATTTTCAGGCTACACTTTGAACAAAAATAAATCCTCACGCAGTTTAGAAGAGCGGTGTGCACATTGCAAAGCAATACGACGATCCGAGTTCAAGTGTAACAACAAGTTTACGGTGCAAATTTGCCAAAGTTGAAAAACTTACCCTCAAATTACCCAACTGGAATATGTATAGAAATAACAATAATAGTCTCGGTTTTTTTTTATAGCGCAATTACCGACAAGGCCTCAAAGCGCTTTACGTACAATCATAAGTAATGGAGAAAGCCTGTTGCACAAACAGGTGAGCTTTAATACACGACTTAAGAAGTGGAACAGACAATTGCAGGAGCGTGGCAGAAAAAAAAAGCTCGCTGCCATCGAGTGCGAAACATGGCAGGAAACCTCCTGAGAGAGAACGATGGCGCTCAGTGGAGACTCTCCTGGGTGAACAAGAACAATCATAATAATAATCATACCTTGTTGGCGAGCTTCTGATTATGCTCTTTTGTAAATTACAATGGTGTGGGCACGTGAACTTAGAGGGGACAAGCTTCCACCCCAACTTCTGGACAAGAGGGGAATGCCACACACGGGCCTAAGCCCCCCTGAATTAACTATCTTTATTAGTCCTTTTGGTTACTCAAAATGGACCCCTGTGACTATTGCCCCCCCCCACCCCACCTCCAGATAAAAAAAATATATGTTTACAGTTTTTTTTTTTTATCAAACGACTGCTGAATGAAGGACTTTCTATGCCGTTTCACTCTCTGGGGTTGCATGACCATACTCGTTTGTTGTCCTGCCCCCGCGTTAGTTGGTCGTCCTTCCTCCGTACCTCCGATTTGCACGGTTGGCTACGTACGGCGCGACAGAAGTTCAACTTACATACTTACATTCACCATGCTAGCCAATTCGGTTTTCCTGAAAGCAATGGACGGCCCAGGGACTGGTTCAGATATAACTCGCCACTCACGTCAGCCATGGCCGTACATGCAACAGAGTTCTCTGGGCTCATCAGCGCAGCGCGCGAACCCGCTGCACGACCGCTGCCCACCCCAACGTAGCTGCCAAATGAATGACAACGCAATGGGGATGAAGCTCGCTCGCTCGCTCTCTCGCTCTCTCTCTCTTTTGCTCTCCCTCACCGGCTACGACGAGCCGCGCGGTGCGGCTCACGATGGTGCCCAGGGAGTCGACGGTAGCGACGCACTGGTAGGTGCCCTCGTCCGGCTTGTGGTGCTTCCCGTGCAGCACGTTCTGCAGCTGCAGCGAGCCGCCCGGCAGCAGCGAGCGCCGCTCGTCCGTCGCCAGGTTGATGAAGGTGCCGTCCTTCTTCCACTCGATGCGGGGGGTGCCCTCCGAGGTGCGCACCGAGCAGTTGAGCACGATCGACGAGCCCCGTGCCGCCACCATGTCCCGCGGCTCCGACGTGAAGTGGAAGGGGCTGAACGCCCTCTTGTTGAGGCCTGCAAGGAGGAGAATTCGGTTTGTCAACGAGCAGGACGTAGTGGTGGCGGAAACCCTTTGGCTCTCCCGAGCGTTGTCGGGTTTTTGCCGAATTCCTTTGTCAAGGGGTGCCTCTGCGGATGTGTATGCTTTAACTTTAACAATGGCATTTCTGTGACCAGTCACAAGCTAATCACTCAGCTATTTCAATGCTAAATTATATGCTAATTCCTTTGTGAAGGCGCTTTGTTTCTTCTCACACGGCTTAAAGGTCGCGATCTGAGCGTGGCTTTTTCGCTCCAGCGCTGTCCTCCAGACAGTCTCGTCCCTTCACCTGATGAAGGCCGCTTGTGTTGTGGCCGAAACGTCGTGAGAATTTTATTGTTATTTTATTTTATCAATTTATTATTTTATTCTCATTCTACGTGACTTTACCGAAAGAACCAAAGAAGATTTTGCCGAAGTGTTCGGTACAATTTGGAAATGTGTCGGAGAGTTACACGGTGCAACCACGAAAAACCCGCACACAGTGGCAATGGCTCTTGCTAATCCCGGCATGGCGGCGGCTACACTTTGTCGACAAGAGCCTCTCACCTACTCACAATCCATCAGAACAAAATCACGGGTTATCTAAGACAAGTTCAAAACGCCGTCAAGGGGTCACCCCGGTCCTTCGTCCCTCTAGTGTCAATAATGTGAGAGGTGCTTTGCATTCAACAGTGACCGTCCTATGGAGAGATCGCCCCTGTCCCCCCCCCCCATCATCTGAGTGGGAAAATTTCAGCACTGGCTCAGGGCCACCAATAGTCATGAGCGCCATCCCACAGCTCGCTTGATTCAGGAGACACTTTGAGGAGTTTTACTCGATTTAACTTTTTTTCCCAGTGCTTGTTAAAAAAAATTCAGGAGGGCCCTGAAAAAATATGCTCATTCAATCCCTGTTTAATGATTGTTTTGCATGTGGGATGACTGCAGATCACCCAGAGAAATCCCACGCATATGACGGGATTACTCTCAGACTTCTGCACAATTGGGTCGAGAAACAATTTTCCGTGAAGCTTGCAGGTGAGCATCATGATATTCGTGTGATGCCCTCTACCCTGGCCAGAAAATTTTGGATTTCGGAAATATGTGGCATCAACTCCTCCCCACCCATTTACTCCTTCACTTAATTTCACTGACCAGTGTTGTGAAATATGGGTAGTGTAGGAGAGGCCTTCTTCCAACAGTGGATTGACTAAGGAATATTTAATCAATACTATTATTACTGTCATGATGTATTCCATACAATATATACATTTCTGTAAAATGGAGAAAATGCGTGGAAGATGGACAAAAAATATATTATGCTTGATACACTTTGGAATAAGGTCATTGTCACAGCAACACTGAGATACTCAACCGTGTCTAAAACAACAGGGGGAAGGTGTGGATATTGCCTCCATAAATTGTAGAGCAGGGACTCGCCACAGCCTGCAAATGTGGCGATGACTGCCCCAATACAAGGCGCACACTCTGGTGGAACAAGTGGACGACACCACACAGCTACCCCACCCAGACGCCGGGGAATGGCTCACAACAGTAAATAATTGTAGCCCCGTTGCTTTTTTTTCATGCCATATGAATGAAGCAGAAGACTGAGATGCTGGGTTAAAAACTGGGTGGTTACATGAATTAAACCACATTCTCAAGTGTAGCAAGCTAATCGCCTCAGCCCATTCACAAATTACTCCAATAAATAAACGTCGTACTTTGCACAGTCATTTGTTCACTTAATTCAACAAAACCTCTCAGTCAACTAAAATGAGAACTGTGCATCTTTATAATAGATTGTACGGTGGTGAACCATTTACAAGGGAGCACACATCCCCTTCTCGTGTTGAGTAAGAGAGACCAATTAAAGGCTGCACTAGAAGGAGCTGAATTATTATCTCCCACTGCCTTTCTAAAATGACACCCTTTAAAATCCTGACTTTGCCAAAACAACTGGGATAAAATGTGCAGCCAAAGTCAGCGTTCTCCTGTTCCAGCAAGCAGTGGTGACAATAATATTAATTGGTTGTCCTGAAACATTGCTGGACATTCCACACTCCCACGACTGGGATAATTTTCTCATAGAACAACTGTTATTAACTTGTCAAAAAAGTCGTAACCGTTTTTTTTTTAAATCAACCGTGGAGTAATGGTAGGCCGAGTTGACTCCTTCCAAATGTGAGTCATCACATTTGGAAGGAGTAGCGGCTGGCCAGGAAGACCACAAGGCGATCGAATGTCCAGACCGTTGCTGAGAGTTATCATCGTCAACAGCCATGATCTATCCGCCGCTTGGCGAAGGTCGCCTAATCCCGTGTCAGTCACGGCGAGTTGTTTTGACCGCGTCTTTTGTCTCCGACGCTGGCCAATGGGGATCGGCGAAGGAGTGCGGTGGCGGCGTCTGACTCGCCAGGAAACTGGCATTAGCCTGGCGAGGAATTGAACTCGGGTCGCCGGGGTTCATAGGTCAGCATGGGAACCACTGGAGCGCTGCAGACACATGCAATGCAGCAAGAGAAAGAGGGGCATGAGGCTACCGCACATGCAAGGGAAAACAGTTGGCAGACATTGCAAGCGTGTCTACTATAATATTCAGTGTTGCTACGTGTTATGCTATAATGACACTGAATGTTAAATGCACTTAAGTTATGCATTGCGTCCTTCAACTTAAGCGTTTGATATATGTTGCATGTAAGCTATGTGTGGCTCTCTCTGAGAGACTGCAAATTAAAAATCTTCAGGTCATGTTATGAGAATTATTCAATTTCTAGTTCATTTTTAGCCGCACAATCATAATTAATCCTGTTAAATAACCCTTGCCGCAGTTACAGACATCATTAACGCCATCACGGCCTTAATTGTCTCATAGTAATTAAGTGAAATACACTGCAGGGCATGTTCTCTTCATGGTGATTGATAACTGAATAACAATTGGTCTTTTTTTTTAGGATCACACGTGAAAAGAAAAATCCAGCCATCCCCGTTCATTAAAGTTGCCTGTGTGCAGCATGCATACCAAGTAACAGGAACATCTTGTGCATTTTGGGGATTTTGGAAAATGTATCGTGATGTTTAGTGTGTGCAATACTTTGCAAATGTGTCTTTGAAAACAAAAGGCAAATATTTTACGTTAATAAGGCACCTTTTGACGTCCTGGTGTTTTATTCATAAATTTAAATATTTAATTGACACTCACTTTCATCATACGAATGTTTGAAATGAAACAAAATTATCAGATTTTCCTTGAAAAAAACGAATGGTGCTCATCTCAACTGGTGCATCTCAGCCTCCCTTTAACGTCCACGTGCCCATCAGGGGGGGGGGGGGGGGAGGGGTCTAATCTATTTAAATGACAACCACTACTTAACTTGCAAAAAAAGGTGGTGCCTCATTGTATCAACCCCTGAGGAACAATGGGCCGAGTTAGTCCCTGCTTTAGATTTGAACATGCGGCCTCGTGGTATTGTCATCGCGCAGAGTAACAAAATAAACGACTCCTCCAGAATGAAATGTAAAATGGGATGGAGCTGTGGTACATTTGTACGCGCACTGTTTCTGCGAACCCAGTGACCCGGAGTGGAATTCGTGGCCACGGTCAACATCAGTGGCCAGTGGACATTCAAACCGGTCCTGGGTGCCCACGTTTTTACCGCCCCCATCACCAGCCTGCACTGACCAGCGTAAAGTACGGTATACAGAAAACATCCCGAATGACCCAACGTCGTGTGTGCGGAGGTGGGGCAGGGGGCCTTCATCTAGCAGTGGATTGAGAAATAACTGTACCCTATTGCAGGCTATTAAAATACGGCATTGCTTATTAAAAAAAAAAAAAAGAAACATCTGAATCTTGCATTTGTAATCGAAGTTTGTGTCACATGTCGGCACGGCACCCCAAAATACTGAAATCACAAAACACACATTCAGGCTTTAGTCACGGTGACATATGGCAATGCTAATTTACTTCCCAGTCCAATTTATGTGAGCCACCATCAAAGGTATACTGCTGGGTGACCCACACACACACATGCGTGCCTCGCGTGTGGAATTGCACTGCATGGCACTCAGATACCCAGGCCAACACGCAACGGGGACAAGCCAGCAACCAACAGGTTACGTTCGAGGCAGCCCATCTGCCAGCCCGCATCTCTTGGGAAAGGCAATGGATGGCTTAACTACCCAGCCTATTATTTACAGCCCGCATCAAGCCTACTGAAAACCTGCTAATTCACATGCCATTTTGAGAACATTACAATAATGGGTCCGTGGCTTCCTTACTCAATTATCCTCTCTCCAAGTTGCGGTAAATCGACAAGTTTTCAATACACGCCACTTTGATTTGGAGATCAAACGAAAAAAATACATTAATTGTGGTCAATTGAATGCTTGTACAATGATCACTGGTGTGGCTGCTCCTTTATAATACCCTATTTTTTAGGACACTTGTCCCAGCTATGCTACCGTCAGCCGTCATTAAACTCCACAGCCCATTCAAGGAAGACGTGAGTGTCACATCTTTTGTAGATATCTGCAAACACTCGTAAAAATCCTTGTTTTACGTAGCTTTTTTTTCTTAGCTGGTATTTAAGTAGCATACTATATCATTAGCACCAAGCAATTAATGATGCAAGCATGATTTAATGGAAAATTGACTTTTAGCTGCCATGAAATTACATAAAAATAAACATGTTTCATAGTTTCAGTTTCCTGATGCTTCAGAGTTTTACGATGAGATACAATCATATCACATAATACCCTTTACTAAAAACCTGGAATTTTTGTGCCAAAAACCTATTTCATATCTCAGTAACACCGAATGAAAATGAATAACCGCAGATCATAACTTATCATCATCGTTCTCCTTGAGTGTGTGCATTGTCTGGTGTGTGTGTTTTACACCATATATTAGTTAATGTAATTGGTACCTGTAAGCACTTGGAAAATGCAGTAACCGGACCAAAACCAACATTATAAAGTTAGCACTTTCCTC